AAAAAAATGCAAAAAAACCTTAAAAAAACGGTCGTCACACGGGATGACCCCCTTAAACCTCAATTATTATATTGCAGAAATCTCCATACTTTAAAACATGGATGAATGCGATTGGACCAAACTTGAGAGATGGAAAGAAAACTCGCAAAAATTATTACATTTGCGAACGACATTTTGATGACGGTAATTTACATCGAATTCCTATGAATATATTAAAGGATGGAAAAGAGGTGACCCTGTTACGTAGACGCCCAATGTTAAAATCGACAAGTGTCCCATACATTTTTCCAGTAAATATCAAAGTCACATGTGATCTATGGCGTTGTTGCATATATTTTTCCAGATAATAATTGAGCACTTGATGTAACCAAAAATTTATTATTCAGGGTTCAAGGCTTATAGATTCAAATAATCTTGAAAGCTCCTCGATTATAGATTCAAATAATCTTCCAATGGAATGCACTTTAGAAAATGTAAATATCAAAGTCACATGTGATCTATGGCGTTGTTGCATATATTTTTCCAGATAATAATTGAGCACTTGATGTAACCAAAAATTTATTCTTCAGGGTTCAAGGCTTATAGATTCAAATAATCTTGAAAGCTCCTCGATTATAGATTCAAATAATCTTCCAATGGAATGCACTTTAGAAAATATTTTTAACACAACGGTTTTACTAAAGGAGTGGAATGCAAGACCTTCTTATGAATCCATGGGGTCATGGGGTGTGACAAAAACAACGTGTGGATTACTTTTCATACTTTTAGAAAGCACTTCAGAACAATGTAGCAATATAGTACAGCGTTCTTTATTTGTAAAGAATGATATGACCATCGAGGTACCTTAGGATTTTTATACATTACAAGTTTTTTTTGTATATGAATTTATCTGCCTATACTATTGCTTATTTGATTTGAACACATGATTATGATTATATATCCGATGTGAACGAATACGTGCAAACGTATTTTGCAGGATTCATTTCCAGGAAAGTAGAACGATGGACGTCATGTTCAGAGTGTGTCTTGTCGGTAACAAAAAAAGAAGGGAATTTGCGACGAGATGAAATGATAAATTTGCTTACTAAAGGTTATCTTAAATACCCCTCAGATTCTTTAGTTAATTTGCTTTCAGCTCTTGAACACGCAATTTTACAAACGGTTGGTTTCGAAAAATTAAACTACTACACATTTCAGCACATTTCTCAAAATATTTTATCAGAAAGTATCACCTTCGTTGGATGTAGTACACATAAAGAAACTTTAACTCGAACAGTCATCAATTACTACCTTATCACGAGAGCGAAAATCCTGTGTAAGAAATCTAATTATGCAAATAACGAAGCAAAAAAGAAGGAAAGAGAATTTCGAAAACGCGTGAAACTTGTCCGTGCAAAAAAAAATATAGATCCGAATATAGTGAAACCGGCACAAGAAAAGGAAAAAACTGCCCATGTAAATAATGTAAATAATGTAAATAATGTAAATAATGTACAAAAATAGGTATAAGATATGCAATAAATATTACGCATAGCTATTATATACTTTGGATATATATTTCCAAAAAATCATACGTTTATACAATTGATTGAGTGTTAAAACTTTATAAGTTTTCAGCAATATTCCGATACAAATGTGGCACTATTAACCAGGGAATGAAAAGTTACTTTTTAAAAGTAACAAGTTACAGTTACTCGTTATCGAGTAGGAAAAGTAACAAGTTACCGTTACTAGTTACCGATTTTTA